CCCCACACAATGATCTTTATCCATCACAATCCCACAATAACCCCACACAACGATCTTTATCCCAACCAGCTCCATCACAACCCCATAAAAAATAACCCCAATGATCTTTCTCCATCCCATAATAACATCAATCCCATAATAATCCCATAATAACTTTCTGCAGTGGGCTACAAGCAGGTCAAGACCATTGAGTTGCCACAGCAGCGCTCGTCCTCGGTGGCCACCCAGCAAACCACGGTGTCCTCGGTGCCTTCCCACCCCTCCACTGCTGGGGTGAGTAACCCTGGGGGATTTGGGGACCTAGAGGGGTCACAGCCACTAATTAATGATTAATTAACACTAATTAATAGTGTTAATCCAAGACTGAGTTGGTGACATTGCAGTCCATGGGGCAGAAGCTCTGTATGAAGCCAGGTGTGCCAAGGACTTAAGTGGGACAGAGCCTCCCTTGTGCCTGGAAACTGGGAATGAGCTCCTGGAAACTGGGAATGAACACCTGGAAACTCGGAATGAGCACCTGGAAACTCAGAATGAGCTCCTGGAAACTGGGAATGGGCACCTGGAAACTTGGAATGAGCTCCAGAAAACTCAGAATGAGCTCCTGGAGACTCGGAATGGGTACCTGGAAACTGGGAATGAGCTCTTCTTCCTACTCAGCCCCTGAAAACTGAGCAGTGGGAGGCAGTGCTCAATCAAAGATTGCCTCTGGAGTAAAGGACAGTTGGGAATGGCACGGCCTCCAAAAACCGCTGGGAGGTGGTGACACTTGGAGCTGGTGGTGCCCAAGGCCACCAGGGGTGAGGACGCTGCTCAGGCTCAGTGTCACCAGCACACCCCGGGGTTGTGGTGCTCGGCTGCCCAAGGGGCTCAGGGAGGCAGAAGAACCCAGAGCAGGAGGTTGGAAGGAGCAGCCAGACCCTGCCGTGACACCAGCCCCAACCCTGGGGTTTGACCGTGTCTCTTGGTGGTCCTGCAGAAGACTTTCAGGGCCGTGCCAGACTTTGACCGTGTCCCTTTCTGTCCTCTAGGCTGCTGGGGTTTGACCACGTCCCTTTGTGCCCCTGAAGACATTCTGTCCCCTGCAAGGCTCTATGTCCCTTCTGTCCCTGCAGAAGACATTCCGGGCCATAGCAGGGTTTGACCACATCCCTTGTGGCCCATGTCAGGGTGTGACCACGTCCCTTGTGTCCCTTGTGAAGAGGGTCTGGGCCATGTCAGGAGTGTGACCATGTCCCTTCTGCCCCCTGTAAGGCCACGTCACTTCTGTCCTGTGTCCCTGTAGAAGACATTCCAGGCCATGTCAGGGCGTGACCATGTGCCTTGTGTCCCTTCAGAAGAGGTTCTGAGCTCTGTCAGGGTGTGACCATGTCCCTTGTGTCCACTATAAGGCTTTGACCATGTCCCTTGTGTCCCTGCAGAAGGCGTTTCGGGCCATGTCAGGGTGTGACCACGTCCCTTGAGTCCCTTCAGAAGAGGTTCTGAGCCATGTCAGGGTGTGACCATGTCCCCTCAGAAGACATTCCGGGCCATGTCAGGGTGTGACCATGTCCCTTGTGCCCCTGCAGAAGGCATTTCGGGCCATGTCAGGGTGTGACCATGTCCCTTCAGAAGAGGTTCTGAGCCATGTCAGGGTATGACCATGTCCCTTGTGCCCCTGCAGAAGAGGATCTGGGCCATGTCAAGGTGTGACCATGTCCCTTGTATCCCCTCAGAAGAGGTTCTGGGCCATGTCAGGGTGTGACCATGTCCCCTCAGAAGACATTCCGGGCCATGTCAGGGTGTGACCACGTCCCTTGTGTCCCTTTGTGTCCCTGCAGAAGACGTTCCGGGCCATGTACGACTACACGGCGGCGGACGCGGACGAGGTGTCCTTCAAGGACGGTGACACCATCGTCAACGTGCAGGCCATCGACGAGGGCTGGATGTACGGCACCGTGCAGAGAACCGGCAAGACCGGCATGCTGCCGGCCAACTACGTGGAGGCCGTGTGAGCCCGGCCTGGGACAGCTCCCTGGGCTGGGACGTGTCCCCCCGGGGATGGGACACTGCCCTGGGGATGGGACATGTCCCCTCAGGGATGGGACACTGCCCTGGGGATGGGACACCTCCCCCTGGGGATGGGACACCTGCCCTGGGGATGGGACACCTGCCCTGGAGATGGGACATGTCCCCTCAGGGATGGGACACCTGCCCTGGGGATGGGACACCTGCCCTGGGGATGGGACATGTCCCCTCAGGGATAGGACACCTCTCCTGGGGATGGGACATGTCCCCTCAAGCATGGGACACCTCTCCTGGGGATGGGACATGTCCCCTCAGGGATGGGACACCTGCCCTGGGGATGGGACACCTCTCCCGGGGATGGGACATGTCCCCTCAGGGATGGGACACCTCCCCCGGGATGAGACATCTGCCCCAGGCCCTCCCAGTCCCCTCAGCCACAACAGAAATAACTGCAGAGCAAAACACACCTGGAATATTTCACAAGGTTTCCAAAAGTACCTCTAAGCACATCCTGCCTTTCTCCCGCTGCCAAACACTTCCAAATGTCTGGAGTTTCAAATGTTTCATCATGATCTAAGACACTACAAGACATCTCCAAAATTCCACTGCTGAAGACTAACACACACATTTTATGATTCGTTCTCCCACATGGAGAGAATTTTTCTGGGCTGTTCTGAAATGTTTCAATCTCTTCACTTCCTTTTCCATTTAAGCTTTGTATTTCAACCCAATTTATCTGGGGAGGGGAAAGCAACCGCCCCTCTCCTCCTGCTTGCTGAGCTCTCATGAATGTTTCTCCTGCAACTGTTCTGGGGGCAAAAGCTGTGATTTCTTGTAAATTAGTGATGAATAAAGCTGAGGTTTCTGCAGTATGGGTGGATGCTGTGGTGCTGGAAAAGGGAAGGGAAGGACCCAGATCTGGGGTTATTCCACACTTGAAGATCACTTTTTGCTTCATCCACTGCAGCACCTGGTAGCAGCCACTCCACAGGAAAGAAGGGAATAAAAATCCCTGGATATTGTGTCTCCCCCATAGATTAAATCCAAGTTAACAGCAGGGGTTGTAGCATCACCCCTAAGGAATTCAGAGTCCAGAGGGAATTCCCAGCAGAGGCAGCCTGGAAGGGAAATGTTAAAACCCTTTCCATGTGTCAGGAACATCCTGCCCAGGCCATGGAAAGCTGAACCCTCCTAAGGAGGCAGATCTGGAACCAAAACAATTTCTCAGGAAAGCAACAAAACCCTCAGAGCTTCCTCTTGCAGCTCCAGGCTGCTTGTCCTGTCTCTTTTCTCCACGAGACACAAACTGGGCAAAAAATCCTGAGATTTTTGCAGACATCCCACCTGTCCCCGTGCTCCTACCTTACACCAGCACTGTGACATTCCCAGGTCCCTCCCAGCCTTGGGAATCCAAATTTGAAGGGAAGCTGAAGAGAGAAAAAGCCCAGAAGCCACGACCAAGACTGGGAACTATTTGCTCTTTTATTTGCCCATGTAAAAGTTCAAAAACCACCTGCAGCAGTTCCTTTCAATAAACATCCATCTGGACAGCTACAGTACAATATATACAGATCAGAATTCCAAAGGGAAAACCTGGAATTCTGGCTGAAGGTCTCCAAGAAGCAGCAACGCAGTCCATGCAATTAAAACTCCATAAATTATTACCCAACATCTGCTGTGAGTCTGTACACAATATACAAAGAGCTCTTGTCCAATCCATCATTTCCTCACGGAAAAAAAAGTCTTCCCAAACAACTGCTGCCAGCAAAGGCCATGGGGCAAAGCCTGGGGGGCTCTGCAGAGTCTCTCTCCTGTACAAGAACATTTCCTCTGAGCTTGAGTCGTACAAAAATACATGGAAAAATAGATCCAGTACAAATCCCAGGCTCCTGCTGGAAGGAATTAACCCAGTTTACCTCACACGTGCTGCTCCAAAGGGGCAGAGCTGGCAGCTCTCAGCCCACAGCAGGAGTTTGCAGCAGTAAGAACACTTTGGATTTGAAAAAAAATAATTTAACTACTCTGTTGGTTTGGTTTGTCACAGTCTTTGCTATTGCACAGCTTTGTCAGGTTTTCTTTCACTGCCTGAAAGAAAGATGCATAGCAATCCCATAAAAACACCTCTGTCAGGGAGGAAACAGTCCAACAACAAATACAGGCAAAAAACAAGAAAAAATTAAAAAGGGGGGGAAAAAGAGGGGAAGAAAGAAAGGGGGAAAAAAGAAAGAAAGAAAGAGGGGAAAGAAAGAAAGAAAGAAAGAAAGAAAGAAAGAAAGAAAGAAAGAAAGAAAGAAAGAAAGAAAGAAAGAGGGGGAAGAAAGAAAGAAAGAAAGAAAGAAAGAAAGAAAGAAAGAAAGAGGGGGAAGGAAGAAAGAAAGAAAGAAAGAAAGAGGGGGAAGAAAGAAGGAAAGAGGGAAGAAAGAAGGAAAGAGGGAAGAAAAGGAAAAAAAGAGGGGAAAATAAAAAGGCAAAAAAAGGGAAAGAGAACAAATTTATGAAGATGTTAACAAATATAGCCCCAAATGCAGACTGCAGGAGGAAGTGAGCAGAGAGGGAGGCAGGGGGGAGGCTGCACCGAGCTCCTCCTGCTGAGGATGAGCAGCTACTCGGGGCCCGGCTGGGGCGGGCAGGGCCAGCGGGCCTGCAGGCTCCTCAGGATGCACGAGGCCATGGCCAGCAGCTGCTCCTGCATCTCACACAGCTGCTGGCCAGAGTAGCCCTGCAGCTCCTCCGAGCTCAGCTGCGCTGCCAGGGCCTGGATCTGCCCCAGCAGGTCCACAGGGGGCTGCTCGCTGCTGCTGCTGCTGCTGCCAGCCTCCAGATCTGCAAGGAAAGGAGAGAAGTGCAGGGAAAGCCAAGCACAGTTCCAGCTGGCTTTGTGTGGCAAGCTGTTGCCTTGATTCCTAAGATTTTCTAAAGGTTTCTGAATTTATGTTCTTATAAAGAACTTTCTCGCTCAACTTTCTGTAAACAATCTATTGCTTTACATGCCTCCATAGAGGCACAGAAATTTAATGTACCAGTAATTTGTCCAGTGTCATTGGAGAGGTGGCACATTCACCCTCCAATCCACTGTCACCTTTGGAAAAGTATAAATGCTGGAGTCAGAAAATAAACTCCCTCTTTTTCACCTTGCAATAGCAGTGGCTCACGTCGTGCTTTCACATGTCCTATAGTGACAGCAAGCACATTTCTTTCTCTCTGTGCACCTCTATGAAAATTCCTGAGAGACAGAAATGCCCTTGCCACAGTTTTGTATAAAATCACTTCTTTGAGCAGCCTGCCATGTATTTATTCCATGGGAAACACTCCCAGCAAAGGCACTTCACCCTGCCCTTCCTCAGGGTGAGTTTTTCATGATTGAAGAAGAAAACTAAATCCAAAATAAAAACAAAAAAGGATGAGGTGTTCCCACCAGGAGAGAAAGAAGACAAGACAGCAGAGCCCTCTAAATCTACAGCAAAAAGCCACCAGCAGGTACCTGCTGCAAGTTTTTCCTCATCTCCACTCAGAGATTTCTCCTCCACGTCATTTCCAGGCTTCTCAGCCTCTTCAAGCACTGTGCTTTCCTCCAATGCTCGAGATTTTACCTGGGTGTTTTTTGGGGAGAGAAAACATTTTCAGATTGAAAAAAAAAAAAAAAATTATATTGTGAGATGTATTTTATCCTCATAATAAATCCAATCACTTTTCCTGTTAATAATAATAGCTTAACCAAGTCATGTGTATCTTGAATTCATGGTACTGCAGCAGGCAGGGACTGGGTTTTAAAGTGCTGTTTTTAACATCATTCCTGCAGTAAATGAGATCAGTATTGGTTTTCTGGGTGCCAAAATTCAACTTTACCTGTTGCTCGTGGTATCCTTTCAGAGCTCTTTTGACATTGGAGACTTTGGGGGAGCGGATGGGGAGGGTTTTGATCTCCAGAGGTGTCAGAGTGCTCAGGTCTCCCACGGTTTTGATGTTCTTGGCTCGGATGAGCTGCCCCAGGCCCCTGGCACTGCAGCAGGGGAGGGAAAAGGGGTCATTGGTACAGTCAGGGAATATCCCGAGCTGGAAGGGACCCACAGGAGCATCAATCCAACTCCTGGCCCTGCACAAACTCCCCATCCCTGGGGAGATTTTCAAGCATCAAAAAAGTACTTGAAGAACGCCAAAATAGTTAAGTCTCCTCCTCACCCAACCAACCCCAATCCCTTTAAAGAATTCTGGCTAAAACAGTGGTTTGATAGGTTCCTAAGAGCTCAGTTTCTACTGAAATGTCACCTTCAGAAGTAAGAAGCCACTGACCAGATGTTGGATGTGATCTGAGGTAAAATGACATCCACAGGGGCTTTGCAGCCAGCCAAGGCCGGGTACACGAACTCCGAAAGGCACGGCAGAGATTCCTTGGCCATTTCTGTGATCTGGGATAACACAGGCAAAGTATTAAATTAACTGCCACACGCTGAATACAGGGAAAAAAAAATAGAAGAGAAACATGAACCAAAGCACTTCTTACTAAACACTTCTTTGAGCTCTTAAATTTAAGGGTACGAGATCCTGGGGACAGAAATCCTTTGGTTGGAGTGGTAATGTGCTGGATAGAAAAAGAGGAAAAAAATATCTCAGGGTGCTAGAATTTAGTCAATGGTAGGAATTCAGTTAACAGTAGGAATTCAGTTAATAGTGAGATTTTAGCCCCTGAAACCTCAGAGTTCACTGGAGTTCAGAGAACGAATCAGGCTAAAGCAGTTTTGTTTCTTACACTTCAGATCCTCAGCCCTTACAACTGTGTGTAAGTGACTACAAACATGCACCAAACCATGCTATTTATGATCAGTACACAGATACTTGGGACACACAGGACATTGTAACAGGATTTACCCTGACCTGCATGTTAGAGAGGATTTTAAGGCTCCTGGAGGAGGGTGAGGAATGGGACCTGATGACAGGGCTCCTCCTGTCGATGTCGTCTGCCAGGCCCTCCTGAAAAATGGGATTTGCAAAAGAGACTCGGCGGATCTGAGGAGGAGAGAAGGAGGTTTTAGAGTGGCAACTCAACCCAGCACAGCTTGGTGAAATCACTCTGAGGAGACAAAAAAAAATCAGTTTGGAATCATTGAAGCTCTTGAATGACCCAGGGAATGTTTCAGCCAAGGACAGGCTGTGAGGATTCCCTAAGGAATCTCCATTTACAACCCTGAGCATGCTGCTCCTGGTTTTGCAGTGATCTGGGATGCTCTGTTCCACAACAAAACCCCTCACAACACAAATCTGCCAGTGCTGGCACGTTCCAAACCCAAAGCTCACCATTTCTGTAAGATTATTCACAACAGAAGCCAGTAATTGAACACCCCAGCTGGGGTATTCCCTATGGAATACCTTATTGGCAGGTGACAGGGAATCGTCCTCCTGGCTCCTCTTGACCCCTCTCTTGAGGATGCTGGTGGATGGGGAGGCTGAGGGGGACCAGGTGCAGCGGGCCTGGAGGCTGGTGGGGCTTTCAGCCACCTGCACCGAGGGATCCCCTTCCAGCTTCAGAGGGGAATCCACACCCACATCTGCCACGGCCACGTTTTCAGGCACTTTGATTTCAGTTTCCACCAGTTCAACCTTTGTATCTTGATCTGCAACAACACAAGCTTCTCCAGCAGAGTTCTCAGCTTCTCCTTTTTCCTCCTGATTTCCTTCTAGCTCCTGCATCTCTTTTTCCTCAGGTTTGCTGTCAACGCTCAGCTCCTCAGGCACCTCCTCCTGTTGTCCATTTTCATTTATTTCCTCCTTTTCTGTACCTGCTGGTTCTTCCTCTTGATCCCCTGAGTCCAGGCAGCTCTCCCTGGGCTCCCCAGGAACACTCTCAGGCAGAACCTGTTCTGTTTGCTCCTTCTGCTCAGGAGGTTCCTTTATTTCCTCCATGGACTCAGTGGTTTCAGCTGCTGGACCCTCTGGAGTCTCCTCCTCCACCCCCACACTGCTTCCCTGCAGGTTTTCCACATCCATTTCCTGCCTTTCCAAGCTGAAGGTGTTGGGTTCCTTGGGAGGGTGCAATGGAGTGCTCATCCCACACGGAGCCAGGGCCAAGCTCTCCTCCAAATCTGAGTGACCAGAAACAGTCCCAGGGCTCTGAACTGGGGTGCTCTCAGACTCCTCCAGCTCAGAAGCTTTCTCTTTTTTTGTCTCAGTCACCTTTGAGTCAGTCACCTGCTGCTTTGGCTTTTTAAAGCAGCAATCACAGCTCTTGATCTTCTTCACCCTTTTGCTTCTCTTGTTCTGGCACTCAGGGCTTTGCAGAGAGGAGGGCTCAGCACCTGGAGCATTTGCTGCAGGTGCACAGTCCCCTGTGCTGCTTTGCTTCTCCTCTCTGCTCTCCTCTGCTGCTCTCCCATCCTGCTCAGACACACAGGGGCTGCCCAGCGACTCCATGGATGCATCACCCTTGTGCTGCTCCACGCTGGTGTCCTGCAGAGCCTCTGGATTCTCGGAGCTGCCAGAGCCCACAGCTTCTCCAGCAGCTGCAGCAATTTCCTGCTTTTCCAGGCCACCTGGCTCAGCTGGCACTGCAGCACCTGTGCTGACCTCAGGCTCACCTTTAGGGACCTCCAGGGGATTCTTAGTTTCATCTCCCTGGGCAGATCCCTCAGGGCTCTGGCTCCCCGCCTGTCCCTCTTTTAATTTACCTTCAAGAGAATTGCTTCTACTCCTCAATTTCATGGTTTTTTTCCTCTTTGTGCTCTCCTCCTTGCCCTCAGAGCTGTCAGCTTCGGAGTTTTCTATGCTGGACAGCAACCCCTGGGAAGATCTCCTGGTGTGGTAGCGTGGGCGCTCCACCTTCTGCCCCGCTGTGCTGAGGCTGCCCTGAGCTTCCCCCTCTGGCCTGGGGGAATCCTCTGCCCTCCTGGCAGCCCTGCTGCCCTCCTCATCCAGGCCCCTGCAAGCAGGAGAGTCCTTGGAGCTCCAGTCCTCTGCCCCTCTCTCAGCCTGGCTGCTCTCTTTTGCGCTGTCTGTCGTTTTCCCAGGAATTCCTTTGTGCTTTTGGGATCCATCACCTTTCCCCTGGGACGGCTTCTTCTGCCCAGCCTTCTCCTCCTCTTTCCTCCTGTCTCTCTTTGGGAGCCCGTCCTCCTTCTCCTGGCTGCCCGAGGAGCTGTCCACAGCGTCCGGCCGTCTCCTGGAGGAGCGCCGCAGCTGCTTCTGCTGAGGGGACACTTGTGGCACCTGGCTGTCCTCCCCTGGGGCCTGCTCAGAGCTGCTGCTGCTCTCTGGGGGGGTGTTTTCCTTCGAATCCGTGTCCAGCCCCCGGGCCTTATCCATTTCTGCGATGGCATCCTCGGCTTTCTGGATGTCTGCCTCCGTGGAGAGCAGCGCCCGGGAGTGGTTGAGCAGGATGTGCTCCACATCCTCCCCTGCAGAGCCCAGCTCGGCGCTGCTCTCCAGGCTGTCAGGGGCCAGGGATTCCTCTGGCCTGCTCAGGAGTTTGGATTTGCTGCCCTGCAGCTCCAGGCGGCTCTGCCGCCGCGTCACCCTGCGGGCGGCCGCAGCCCCCGCGGCGGGCTCGGCTTTCGGGGGGTTTTTCGGGGGGTTTTTCTCCTCCTCTCCAGATTTCTCTGCCTTAGCAGCAGCCTTGCTGCCGCTGCTGCTCTGCTGCGTGGCTGCCTCAGGGGCACTCCCAGGCAGCTCTGGCACGGAGCTCAGTGGGGCTGGGCTGAAGGCTCTGCTCTCTGCAGACCCGAATTTCTCCAGGGTGATGAAGGACTGGCGCCGGCTCGCGGGCTGGGGGGTGCCAGAGATGATGTCACTGGAGGCTGAGCTGCTGGTGACATCTGAGGTGTCCTCCTTCCCTGCTGAGGCCTCCTGGGCAGCTGCTTCCACAGAACTTGTCTCCAATCCCTCTGCAG